TAAAATACATTAAAACACGTAAAAAATGCAATTTTTTCATCATTTAGCATGTGAAACTTTAATTTACATCGTGTTTTTTTTACATGAGATTCGAACTTGCGACCTGTGAATAATTTGGAAGACTTGATTCTTATGGATCTACTTCTCTTTACCTAGGCCCCACAACACACGAATGATCTACCAAAGAGGATTGGGAAACCGGCCTCTAAGTGTTAGAACGTGAAGAAAACTGGCCAACCCGTTGGTCAGGCGCGAACCAGCAACCATTAATTTATTAATGGTCACGGGTTCGCGCCTGATCAACGGTCAATATTCGGCCACGAAAAGTATAATAGGAGTAAACCGCTACGTTGCACTAACTTTTCTGATTTAATTCGAGATTTTTTTGCTATGAATCATGTGCTAACGTTGTACTCCATTTCGCAAAAGTGACAAATCTCTTGCAATGAATAATATCATCGTGAATCACGTTGTCTCGAGGAGTCATTATTTTAAAATCGAGATAATAAATAGGAGCTTCGAAGTCGAACGGAATTGTAATAAAGTAAACAATGTTCATAAATATGTAGACTGTTTTTTGTGTTTAATTATCTGTGTAATTTAATAAAATCAAGTTTTAAACAACTAATTATCTTCGATTATATTTATTATTATTTGTATTTATAATATGAGTAACGTTGCGTGCGAAGCGGAAATTTCCCATTTTGAATCCAAAGTTTACGAACTTTGGATTCAAAATGGCGGATCGGTCGGAGTAAGCGGTTGATCGTGTGAAAGCGAACTTCTTAATAGCGAGGTTGCAGCTGAAGTTTTTATCTCTAAAACGTGAACGTCGAACGTCGAGAGCCACTATCTTGTAAGCGGCTGCTCGACGTTCGACGTTCACGTATTACAGATGAAAACTTCGGCCGCAACCTCGCTAATATGTATAGACAATAAAAATAATGCAACCGTCAGCTGCATTCTTATATGATCCAGCTAAATGGATCAAGCAGGAACACAGTTAATGAGAACTCCGTAAACTTTTTATAAGCTGAAAGTTTCCTAACACATCTGCAACACTTTCAAAAATGCATCTGCTTAAATGGTGTAGTCATTGACATAAGAGTAGATGATCTGTGTTGAATCGTATTTAGAACTCAAATCTCGAAAAACTACGCAAATAACGCTTTAGATGTAGCATGTAAAAAGATCAATAATTAGATTTGTGAAGTACTTTTGTAGTAGTGTAATTGGTAAACCTATAGCGGGTAGCGAAAGGTAGATGCAAATGGAAGCGACCCATTTCCGATATTTGCGCTTGTTATTGATTCTCCAACAAAGAAATCTTTATGTCTGTTGTCTTTCGAGAAGAGTTACCGTTGACGATGTGACCGGTAGCAGAGCTTCAAATTTTGGAGCAAATCCTGAAGCAAACATACCAATGAAAGCCCTCCTGTTAACTCGTGGCCTCTTCGGGGTCCTTCTGATAACACCCTAGTACTTTAATGTAAGATTACATACTTTATTCCTAGGTCGATCGGGGTTCATTTTGTCAAGAATGGGAGCCAAAAGGGCTTCTATTTAGTTTCGTAGTCTTCATCTATGATAGCTTAACCACTGGATGTTGCTGAAGATCTTCCATCTTTCACTTCAAGATTCATTTTTCAAGTTCTGCATGCCAAACGTGTAAGAATGTCGTTCGCAAATCTGATGAATGTCTATTTAAATGATAAACGTCGGATTTTCATTGGTACGTTTTTTTCCGATGAAGCATGTTTTTATTTGACTCACTTGTCAGACATAATGTATATGATTCCCGAGTATCCCATACGATCCATGACATCAGTGGTCATCCCCAGAAACTGTTGGCATGGTGTGCAATCTATCAACAATAGGCCAATAATCCTTTGTTGGGAGATAGCCATACACAATCCCGAATTACCTGCAATTCCTTTATGCAGATTTTAGGAATAGAGTGGTTTCAAATGGTTTTTCGAATGAATATGGATGAGGATTTCGCTGACTTCTAACAGTGTAGACTTAAACTCGCGCAATTTTTCGGAGATTTTCTTAATGAAAAAGTGCTCCAAACTGCTCGCAAATTAAAGAGATGGCGGAACAATTTCGCAGCTTTACTGCATTTGTTTCTCAATGAACTATTTGAAACTAATCTAGCCTGAAAAATCTTAATAGAGGAATTCATTTTATGTAATGCTTTATGAGAACTTCTGAATTTAATGAAACATCTAAACCGGAATTGTTCGTGATCTCTAAAAATAGACAAGAAAACCCAAAGACCCATTACTGATTGTAATGGGTCTTTAGGCTCATTGTAGCAAATATAGGCATTATATGAACGATGTCAATATGCTGATTCCGTGTTTTAAAATAGCACAATCAACTTATTGTGCTATTTTATAAATTAGGCAATTAAACTGTTCTTCGTATTACTGATTACGATATCTTTTTTGATAATCGGTTGTTTTGAAGGAAAAAATAAAGTCAATATTGATAGACGACCGCATTTATTACATAAAATAGAAAAATATAAATGTTATCTTATGATACAGTATTTTCTTCTTAAATGAGAATAAAAAACATAAATACAGGATGTTCACATTTCAAATAGGTATAACTCGTAAACCAGTCAGCGGAATGACGTCGTATTTTACACAGGGACTTCTGCCGTAGTGGAATTTATTTGAAACAAAAAAGTTAGTTACCAAAATGCCCGCTAGGGTCTTAAATGGTGCTGCAACACTGTAGTAAATAACTTAAAATGTCTTAACTTCACGGTATACGTAACAGCAATCGATGGCCTCCGTTAAAATGATTGTTTATGTATTTTCTATGACAGCAATAACGCATACAGAGCATGCTCTGTCTCGGTGTAGCAGAACCATTTACCTCACTAGCGGGCATTTTTGTAGTTAACTTTCTTTTTATTTCGTTGCAAATAAAATCTCATTCCTCGGCGAAATATGACGTCGTTCTGTTAATTAGTTTTCGAGTTATATCTTCTTGAAACGTGAGCTATAATTGAAAACACCCTTATAGTGACGTAAAACCTATTCTAGTTACAAATTTATAGTAGCTCCCTTATTTTCGGTGGACATATTGCAAGACCTCGGTGGCCCAACAGTGGCCGAGTTGATAAAACCGGTAGTTGGTCGTGGGTTCTCGCCTGGTCATGTGGAGTTTTCCGGACTTTCTTCACGTTTGTAACACATAAATAGAGGCTCAGTTTCCCTTAGAAAAAAGTCCTCCTGGGAGGCATTCCCCTAGACAGATCGCGTTGCCTTTCGGAACCATAAAATCCAAAATTTTCGTTATAAATCGTGAATATTGTGCTGCAAATTGGTTTCGAAAGCTTGGTTTTCATAAAATATAATTATATATTTATCTCGGTATTATTAATTATTGTTAAACATGTTTAAAGGGATTATTTTTAATCGCCATTAAGTAATTTGGACACTAAACTTTGATTTTATTTTTTAAAAAATTCTTAAGTTAGGCTGTCAATAACTACTTTAGGCATGGAAAATCCAAACACAGGATCCCTAAAGTGGGGTTGAAAGTTAATAGGGGGGTCGATTAATGGCCAACTGAATAAAATCACTGAACATTAATAGTTGGTCGCGGGTTCGCACCCGTTAATAAGGTTAATTTTGTAATTTTCATACAATAAACTATCAATTTTCCTTTCTACCATCAATATAAAACTCGCGATTATACATAAAATACGTGGTTATAAGTACGTATTTTCTGTATTTAAGGGGGAGTGTGAATAATATTCTAGAGATTATCACATAAAAGTAAGTGAAATTTTCAGAAATTGCATCAGATTTTGCCTATAGATTATATATTATTTGCAAATAACATAATTTGATAATTTAAATCGAAACAGGACTAAGAAATGACACGATGCCGCAACTTCTGTAAATTTAGGTGTGTCTGTTTATAATCTCTGTTTACCAGTGGCGAAAGCCAATTGTTTCGATATGGGTAGGGCGAAATGTGGGCTAAAATATCTTTTTAAGATATAACTTAGATTTTTTATTAAGCTAATAAGTACTGTACACTTACTTTAATAATATATTATTACAATATTACATTTCAAAGTGTATTTTTATTCTTAAATAAAAATGTAGTCGAGTCGAATTTATGTAGCCCGAAAAGTAGCCAATGCGCTAAATGATATTTTTTACACCAAACTAAAAAAAAACGGGTACCAAATTTGGCGCAAAGTAACCAAATCTGGCAACACTGATACATAGATTGGCTGACCTTTGATAAAGCGCTGTTGGTGGCAACGATAGGTACTATCGACCGCCATTTTACTTTAAGTCAAAACATCGAAGTCGATACGTAGTTTTGGACAGGATTGTAACTTTAGAATTTATTTTTCTCATCTAAATATAGATTTGTTTTGTTTGCTCCTAGATTTTAAGATTTAGGCAATTAGAAAAGTGATATAAATCTAGATTGTTTCATCTCAAATTTTTATTTTTCTAACGTTTTCAACCTACTTAATATAGGCCACACTCGGGCTTATGATTAAACTGTTCCAAAATAAATAAATAAAAGAAATAATTGGAAAGCCGAGTGATAACCAATTGTGGCCTGAGTCAGATACTTTACGGGCCTATTGTCTATGATGCTTCCTGACGAAGCTTGAAGTATCTGGACCCACGAAAAAGCGCGGAGTGGTATGTATCATATACATCGGCCTCCATCTTTAAACACCCGTTGAGAGTTTGGCCGAACCTATAATGATAGAAGGCAGTTTTAATGCACAAAGAACGGAAATAGTTTTAAAAAAATCATTAAAATTTTCTTAGATTTTATATTTATTCAAGTCTGAATTATGGTTAGACATCCACTCCCTTTCTTATCAGTTGTCGGTGAATGAAATCAAGTAAAGAAGTTCACATTTAGGCTTTCTTTTTAGCAGTGGAGTGCGGTGACATTTGATGATGGGGAAGCTGTGCCAGCTTTGAATAGAATCGTTAATTCAAATATTTTAAAGTCGTAATTTCGAAACGTCATCCGTCATTCGAATTTTTGAAATAGTGAAGAAAACAAAATGGCCGAATCCGAAGCCGTATTAATAAAGATGGTTTGTATTATTCGAAATTCGATCTATTAAACAATTTATCGATACAAAAACATTATTAAGATGAATTTAAGTTAATTTATAACACTTTTTGTGTAAATTATTCACATTTTTTGCATGTAATTTACTCCATTCAGTGTTAGATTTTAAAGTCACGTGACAATTATGAAAAATAAATGAAAGGAAGTTAAATTTAATGTTAGAAATTAAATCAATTGATCTTATTACAGATTGAAGAACAAGCTGAGAATAATGTCGAAGTTACTGATGATAACACTGTTTATAAAACAACCCAAATGCACACTTATTGTAAAATAGCTGGATCTAAAAAAGAATTAAAGAAAATTAAAAAAGAAATTAGCGAAGAAGACGACGACGATTCTGTCTATTGTATATGCAGGACAAAAGACACGAGCAGATTTATGATGTAAGTATACGTCCGTCAAAAGCCGGACGTGTTTACACACGGGGTTCATCGATCTTTAATCTCCGACAAGAAAAACTTACAATATTTCCTACCGTAACAATCAAATGTCTTTGGGTTCGGAACGAAATAATTCAAAAATAAAAGCGTTACATTCCGAGAATTTAATTGAAGATAACTTTATGCAATTGTTGCATAATTTTCTACATAATTAATTAAAAATGAATATTATAATACAGCTTTCCGAAGAAGATTATAGTGCACTGGAAATATCAAATAATTAAATCGGTGGGCAAACTTTTGCTACGTAGGGCCACATTTAAAATGCTCAAACTGATGCAAGCTGCGCACCAGAAAAGAGAAAAATGTGCTGGTAAATTGCAATTATTTATTCCGATATGATTATAAATTAACGTACGTACACTTAATTCGACCTCTGGAACTGATGCGTATGCAAAATATCCGAAATATCTGGCTGAATATTAGTCGCTGCTAGTTTAATTAATTAGTTTTGATGATTAATTAGTTTTGATCTGTTAGCCAATTTCTTGTTTTACTTTTTACTAAATTCATCGCAGAAATACTTTACATACATAAGTTGAAGTTTACTAAGGACTGATCCTCTGTGTAGCCTTTTTGATCTAATTCTAGTGTTAATAACAACTATGGATTAACACTAGAATTAGATTAAGAAAGCTACACAGAGGATCGGTCTTTAGTAAACTTCAAACACAATATCTTCAGTTATACTTGTTACGTGGATGATATTTTGAGTACATAAGTTGTAGAAAATAACAATAGAATTTTTGTTGCATATTTCCTTAAGTTGGGAAATTGATATATTTATTAATATTTTGTGTGATGGAGGCCATATGTGTCCCTCACAGCCAAGAGGGATACGTCACACCCCTGTGAATTGGCCTGCATTTCACTCTCCCCTAAATTAAATGATCTTTTAAATGCATGAGTTTAATTTAAAACATTGACTGTTAGTTTATATTTCTCTTCTGTTGTTTGTAAAATTAACATATTATTATTTATAACATCTTTTTCCATTCAAAAATTTCATAATTTCACTTCATATTCTCCTCATTACACTTAAATATAGTGAAAATATTTATAACTCATATTTTCTGTAATATTAAGAAAGAATGTATCAATGAAAAGGAGTCAGTTCGTGGACTGTTATAATAATAAATGTTTGTGATGAAAAGATTAAATTATGTACTATATGAGAAATCATTTATTAAATTAGAGATATTACACCATGCAAAAAAAAAAAAAAAATACAATATTGATTACTTGGTAAGGTCATAGCATATGTTAATATAAACATTAATTAGCTGAATACTTTGTTCCTTTTTATGGCGAATACGTTAATTGACTTTCTTTGTATCCAGGAATCTCTTCCATTGAACAGGTGAAAGTTTACATTAAAAAATCATTCTGTTTGAAGGATATTTTCTTTTAGGCATGTTCTGTTTTGGACAGGTTTTGCTATATATGCTAATGATATGCAAATTAATAATACAACCTATAGTTTATAGCCACTGTTGAAGTTCATTCTGAATGTTCTTCATGCGTATTAGCTTAGGGTTGTATAATGGCTCAAGGCCGAAAATAGGAAAATAAAATTATGTCGATAAGGACCCATGAGCTGCATAACAGGACCTTGTGGGATATGGGTTGCTCACGACCAATTTAAACTTAACTTTTTTCTCAAATAGATTCAAATATTTTTAATTTTTAAATCACTTGCTCAATTATGCTATATCTTATATGTTTTAGTACTTTTGGATTAGTCTGTGAACTGAATGAAATAAGTCTTAACACTCTATGATATACAAACAATAATAAAGTTTAGTATAATTACTTGATAGATTTAATTTTATAATAACAACATTTAATAAAATTTAATTTTTCAGAGGATGTGATAGTTGTAATGAATGGTATCACGGTGACTGTATCAGCATTACAGAAGAATATGCTAAAAATATTATTAAATTCTTTTGCCTTATGTGCAGAGGTAAGATAAACTTTGAATATTTATATATTTTTCTGAACTTATTTATTCTTATTTTAAATTATTTCGTAATTTAAATTTAAAAAATTTTTATAAAATGTTTAAAAATTAACAGAGTAGTTAGTGTATGTGCAATTAAAAATTTTTAGCTTAAACTTATTAATAATTTATGTATATATTGACTTGGACATAATATTTTTCTTATATACTGGGTTTTGCAGTAATAATTTTCATTTTTTCCTCTGCTCTGTGGGTACTAGCAGGAATGTTTTTCTGTAGCCATTATAAGTTTATCTACACCCACAAAGGGTGAGGATGGGGCCTGATATATCCAAGACTCAAAAATTTCTGGGAAGTTGCTCACTCAAATTTCATCTCGGATTTTTAGAGTGGTAGGCTGTAGCATTTTCTTTTGTAAAATATTGCTTTGTTCGGAAAGTTCGTAGCAATTTTTAACCCTTCCCCTCCCACTTGACGATATTTCATCACGAGGGTTTAGTGATAATGCTTGTGTAACAGAAATTCATCACTTTCAAAATCGTTTAATTTTTTAAAAAAATTCCTAACTTAGATGGTAGTTCTATATAGTACATGCATCGTGTTTTACATAATTTTAATTAGATGGCATTAATTATTATATACTGTATACATATATTTTTGAAGTGTGAAAAACATTTTCGGGTTTGTTTTACTGTTGAGCATTTTGTGATTTTTACTGAATATATGTTTAGTCCTAAATCAGTAAGTTTTACATATATATTTATTACTTATACAGTCGACCCTCCTATAAGATCATAGATACGTTCCATTTTTTAGGAATCCGATTTCTTACGAGTCGTTCCAATCACAGCCCGACACGTGTAAAGTTTACGGACTACGGCTGATTGAAAGGTTTTCTTCCATAAAATTAATCGATTCTAGACTAATCCGACTCAACATTTCCAAAATACGTATATATTTTTTGGAAATAATCCGTATAAACTACACTATAAACAAAAAATTGTAGGATTACTTACCGAGTATGCACTATTCAACAACCCCATTGCTAAAGCTTGTTTTTATCGCGAAGCAGTTCAGCAAACCACAGCCGATTTCTGATAACTTATTTTTCTGCGAAAACTTCGTTGAACTTCGGAGACATCATTAATATAAATAATTTTAATCGCCGTTGAATAAGAAATGTTTCTTTCACAAGAAATGTCTAAAATTACAGTACCGTATTAGACTTACAGTACCTAATTTACATACTGTACAGACGATAGTTAGCGTAAAAATCTCCATAGCGTGGCGCCACGCTAGACGGCAGAAATTATGTATTTAATTATAACAAAGTTACAATAAGTTAATATATAATTATATATACAGTACCTAATTTATATATAATTAATATATAATTATATGTACAGTACCTAATTTATATATAATTTATATAATACTGTCCAGACGATAGAAATCTCTCCGTAGCGTGGCGCTACGGACGGCGGGAAAGTAGTTTGGCTGCCCGATGACGTTTAACGTAATTATAGGGGGTTTTTTACGGATACTGTCACAATTTTTTTGCAGTTTTATAGGAATCGTAATTATTGGGACCGTAATTATAGGGGGTCGACTGTATAATATATATTATAATTTTATTTATTTACAATTTATCCAACAGAAACGTGTGGTTTTTTGTTTTTTTAATTTTGTTTTAATTGTTTTATAAATCTTATGTTTTTTTTTTTTTTTTTTTTTTATAAGTTTTACATATATAAGTTTATTATTTGTATAATCTTTACTTTAATTATATGTAGTTATAATTTGTTTTCAAACAAAGGAAGCATTTTTTTTTTTTAATTATTTACTGTTTTTTTGTTCTTTTGTTGTTTTGTAATACTTTGGTTTACTGCTTTATCGGTAAATCTTACATATATATTAATTATTTATATAATTTTTTGTTCTGTCTATTTATCAAAATAAACAAAATATAAGAATTATAAAACAATATAATGAAACTTAAAGAACAAAATAATGCACATTTCCTTTGTATTGAAAAATTTTAAATAAATAACATTATAAATTTTTGTATAAAACTGTAATTTTTTTGGAAATTATCAGTTTTTATTATTTGAATTTTTTAAACGTATGCCTTTTTTTTTGTAATAAACATGAAAACTTTTTATACAAAACAATCAATGCTTTTTAATAGGATTTTGATAACTATTGAAGTTTCAGTTAATTGTAGACAAGTAAAATTACATAAAGACATGAAAAACGTAAACATGAATATTTCGATATAAATAAGAATTGCTCCTCATTAAATACGTCAATATATATAAATCTTATATCAAAATGTAAAGGACTTTTAGTTCAAGCTAGCTTGTTGAAAAGTTAAATGAATAAAAACAAATTATCATATCTTACCTATTGTCAAAGTGTAGTAAGATATTACAAACAAACAGTAGATGATAAACTAATTTTTGACATCCACGAACAAACACTATATAATTAGAAACTACACAAAGAGGTGTGTATACAGGATTTTTTTCATAGTTGTATGATAAAAATTGAATATTTTACAAAATTTTAAAATAATAATAGTCATTGAAATTATATTCCTGCTTTCACTTTATTTCTAAAAATATTTCTCAATCAAATTTATTTTAAGTTTAGTTTTATAAACTACCATTTGTTATATATTATTAGTAATGTAAATAATTTATTTATGGACATGTTCAGTTAAACAATATCTTTCTGAATCATTGTTAAAATATTACCATAAATGATAGTGATGTTAGTATTATAATGGATGTTCAAGATTAATTTGTAACATCTTTGATTACACATGACATGCAATCTCCAGCAGATGGAATTAAAAATTTATTGCTTTTTCTACAGGGAAAGTCCTACATATATGACAGAGTCTAGACAAATCTTTTAATACATGATATAGTCTACTACTCATAAAGACCATATATAATACAATGATAAGTATCTTCCCCGTACAATAAATATATGTGCACCCCATTTGAGGTTATAAATGGTAAGAAAACTGGACTCGTTCGCACTCAAAACTAAACTCATTTAATAAGTAAAGTACCCTACTTGAGATATGGTTTACAAAAAAATTTTGGCTCAATCACTGTAACAGGTGTCTCCATAATGTGTCTGAAAGCATTACTCATCTAAAAAATCAGAGGCAGTAAATTCACATGCACCCAGCATTTGCCAAATGTTGCTTGGTCGGTCATGCAAATTTGCTGCTTTGTGTGTAACTCAGTCAGCAGTATGCAAATGAAGAGAACTATAAAAGCTTGTGTAGTCTCTGCATTGTTCAAAATGCAAAAAAATGGCAAGACTGGGACTAGGACAGATACTGTCCTAGCCCCAGTATAGTCACTGAAATTATATTTCTGCTTTCACTTTATTTCTAAAAATATTTCTCAATAAAATTTATTTTAAGTTTGAACAAGTCTTCTGTCAGAACCTTCCTCAGACACTAAGAAGAAACTGGTTCCATTGCACCTGGATGCAGTAATGGCAGACTGCCAATGACTACTGTTGGAGATTGAATTTTGTGTCGGCTTGTGAAATACCAATCTGGTACGTTCATGGAAACTATAGAAATAGAATGAATGAATAGACCAACTTGTACCTAGATGAGCTGCTTGCAACAGGTTACATGACATGGGTTATGGTTTGTACAAGAGTAAGCGAAAGCCTATGTTGACACTAGTTCAGCAAAAGAAGTGATTTGCATGGGTTAGGAACCATTTATCTTGGATAGAAGCTCAATGGCAGAGGGTGATTTGGTCTGATGAGTCTCTCTTTCCAGTTCTTTGTGAAAATATTGGATGTAATCATCCTCCAGCCAGATGTGAAGTGAGAAGTCAAGTTTTCAAGTACAGTTCAAGTGTGGTAGTGTTTTGGATATTCTGGCATTGACAATTTGGTTCTGTATGATGGGACTGTCAATACACAATACTACCAGACAATTTTGCAAACAGCATTTACTGCATTTCATCTTGGCTGCAGGGAGATGCAATCTTTCAAGATCTTACCAAACCACATACTGCACGATCAACTAGGGCTTGGCTTTGCCAAAATCAAATTCAAGTGTAGACTGGGGTTCCAAATTTGCCAATCTGAACTTAGTTGAAGGCTTGTCTTCAGGAAAAAGGTGCAAAAACACAAGCCTGTCATCAGTTGAAGACAGTTATTCCAGAAACGTGGACTAACATTCCACAAGATCTTTGCCGTGCCTATGTCACATCAATGCCTAGGCAAGTTGCTGACATATATGCTTCAAAGGAAGAACCCACATAATGGTAATTTTATGTAAATGCTGGGTGCATGTAATTCATTGCCGTGAATAAGGTTTTTCCATATCTAAACATAGAAAAGATGCAGTTGACTACAAATATTTCACTTTCAGGTGACTTATGGGACTCTGTTGTATATATGGTCTGTCATTAAGCAGCACAGAACTGTATTCAATTTGATATTCTAAATATTTTATTATAAGTTGCATAAATTTAAATCATCAATTCTAAAAAATAAATTATGGAACTTGAAATTCTGAGTAAATATAATAATTCAAATATTTTTAATTGTTAGAAAGAGATCCTACTTTGGAAATTAAATTTAAAGAGAAGAAAGAAAAATGCGAGAAGATTAAATCAGAAAAACTCGAAAAGGAATCAAAACGATCAGAAGCTTATTCTTCGGTGAATATATATTTACTGCGTTACTTGGTCGTAAATTTCATTTCTTATTTATTAAAATTTGTATATTTTTGTTTTCTAGAAACCGAAAAAATCTGCGAGGAGGTGTGGCGAATGTATTTCTTGTTACAGAACTGAAGACTGCGGAAGATGTGACTTTTGCAAAGTATGTTTTGCCATTTACGAATGATTGCATTTAGTCCATTAATTACACTTAATTAAGTTACTTAGCATTAATTCATTGGTTCTCAATCTTTTCTCGAATCTGATCCACTCTTTTACCTTTGTTTTTCTTTTAGTCTGGCCCTTATCCTTTCCTTTTTCCATTTTCAAATTATCTATACATAGCTATCAAACCCCCGTATGTATATAAGAAAGAATAGATTTATTGATGTTTGTGAGTCAAGTGGGATCCCAACCTAATCTGTTGGTTGAGAACCACTGAATTAATTGTATCTAATTAAATTTTGTGAATAAAAAAGAAATATTATTTGCTCACTTAGGATATGAGGAAATTTGGAGGTCCTAACAAGATACGTCAAAAATGTCGACAAAGACAATGTGTAAATTTTGTAAGCATCAATAAATTTTTGACTTTTTTTTATATAACCCTTAATTTCTAAAATTAGCATAAACTACATTTTAGTTATAATACTAATACATTAAAACGATTTGTCCTGAAATCCAAACGCTTCGAGAATGCTATCCTATTGTCGAAGTGTTGGATTATTTTATTATTTTTAACATAGAAGAACGCTAACGTTTTCATTTATTATATTTTATTTCTTAACATACTAACAATTAATTATTAATTAAAATATAACTTTTAGGTATGTTTAAGTTTAAATTTTTTTATGTTTTGGAGTGTTTGTTACCATTCTTTCCATTTAGAAAACCACTACTGTTCTGTTTGGAACATTTGTCACCATTTTACATTCGATTTTGGCATTTTTATTATATAAAATTTTATTACATGTCGAAAAAACTTATCATTTACAGCAGTTGTTACGATGGACGAGTCATTCCGGGGACCTGGATTTAAGTCTGGATTAGAACGTTAGAAGTGTTCATAGCTAGTTTGATCCAGATACTCGGGCCCTGTTTGTTGTCACCTGGTCACTCCCATTATGAGTCTAGTTGAATGTATGTTAAGTTTTCATGCTCATCATAGGTTTAATTAGACCCATAGATGATATCTGTCAAGCAGAGTTTAAAAAAATGGTTTTTTCTATATGCTCCCATTTTTCTGACCAGTGACGTGTTCATATATTCACAATTAAAATGAAGTGTATTTCCAAACAATAATTCTGCTATAAGATAAGTTTTATAATTTTAAGAAGTGATCAAAAGTATAAATTTAAATATATAAAAAAAAAATAAAGTGGTGACACACGTGACTATCAATCAAATTATATTCTTATAAATTCATATATTATAAATAATATGTTTTTTTATAACATGATTTAATGTTTCTAGAAGTTTTTATACATAGGATCCACGGCATTTTGAAAATTAAAAAACATATCTATCAAATTTTCAAACTGATAAAATTTCATCTGATCCAGCGAATTGCATAATCCAAATATTGAGGTTTGGATTTCAGGACAGTTATAAACTAAAAAAAACAGAGAATTATTTATTAATATAAAAATATTTATATGTGATTTTAGGGCTTAATCTTTGGAAAAAAGCCACCGTATAAAGATAAATACTCACACGAGGATAACAACGAAATGTGTCAGGAAGAAAATGAGGAAGACGAGGATGGAGAGGACAAGGATCCAACTTATTGCCCTCCTGAGAAAAAGGTAATTATTTAATTTTTTTTTTTTTTTTTAAACTTTTATTTAATATGGTGTTGGTAATGTATAATTTCAATAGCCGAGAGGACATGTCTCGGATCACGACGAAGATTATGAACCTAAAAGTAAAAAATCTTCTAAAAAGTATTGTAAAAGTCAGACAAGACAGGTATTGATGATAAATTTTATAGCTTTTGTTGTATGAGACTTGCATTAGATAATTTTAATTTGTGTTTAAAATGTGTGCATATACAGAGCGAGGGGAGGAAGAGATCTTCGAGGCATAGAGTGAAAAAAGACGAATATGGCACAGAAAAAGAAAAGACCAGAGGAAAGAAGGAGGAAGAAATTATTAAACAGTGTTACGGACCCGCATGCATCAATGCAGCAAGAGTGGGATCCAAATATTGTAGCGACAGTTGTGGAATGAAATTGGCCACAAAGTATGCATTAATCTAAAGAATAGTTAAATGAAATATAATTATAATTATTTTAAATTTTTATTTAAACTCATTAACTTTACAGTCGAATCTTTGAATTTTTACCCCATCGCATAAGGCAGTGGCAAAGTACTACTTGTTTGGCAGACGAAAAGAATAGGCTTCTGTTAGAATCGATTCGAAGACAGCAACAAGAAGCCAAACAGATCTTAAATCAGTTAGATAAGAGACAAGAAGAGTTAGAAAATCTAATTGAACGTGCCAAGAAAACTCCCATTGCTCAGGAACAAGAGGTATGTTAATTTAGAAATAAAATAAGGTGTGCTTGATTAATGTACCTGGGAATCTGAGAATTTGCTATAGAACTCAATGTTTAAATAATGATTCTATAAGAATTGGTAGAAGTTGTATATTTTTGACAAGACTATGTCTTGTTTATAAAATCGTACTGTCCAATGTTCTTACCAGCATAGAGGTATGAAGGAGTACATGTCGAGAGTTGATATCTGGCACAGAGTATTAGGTGCCCAAATCATGTGTGCATAAAAAAATCCAGACTTGTAGGTAGTCAGGGGACCAAGAATCGAGTCAAAATAAAGTATAAAATGGCGACCCTCTTCTACAAACAGACAAAACAGCCACCTCACCCCTCTGAAGTCGGGTAGGGGAGAGTACCACCCACAGTCATTCTAAGAAGTGAACTCTGACCTTAGGACCAAACACAAAGTTTCTTCTATGTTAAATAAAATTTGTAATCTAATTTTGTAAATTTGGGAGTGCTTCAAATATGACGTTAAAATGGTTTTATGTTGTAACAAGTGGGTTTTTTTTTTTTAACATTATCTAGTATAGTAAAATTGTAGGACCGATCAAAATTTGACATTATATTAGGGTTGGCGTTACATTCGATGGCATTATAATCGGGTTAAACTGTATATTGTTTGTGCAAAATAAAAAGATAATTTCGGACGATACAATAGCCATGATTATTTTTTCAAAAACGGGAACTTTTCATTACGCATCGACAAAAATTCAACCCAGGCCGACGCGCAATGGAGAGAAATTTTGAAATTAGATAGGTTAATTTCATCGAAGATGCATTGTGGACGATCTTGTGGTCGTGGCCGGCGAAGTTTGAACGATCGTGCCCAATAGCAGCAATATCAAAGAAGATAGGAGAATGAGAACAAGACCTGCCTCGAGCATCAAAGTGATTCCGTCTCCGAGACATAGTCTTGTCCCAAATACGGTTTTGCCGTTTTACTTGTTGAATTTAAATATTGTTCTTCCAAAACTATGGTTCTATAAATCTTTTGATTTTAATTTAATAATTGAAGAGCTCTGGAGTAAAGGCAGTAAGTGCCGGCAAGATTGTTTTGATCTAATGCAAATCAAGTTTTTTAAATTACTTTCTAATTTTAATTCTATGTAATACAACTTAAAATTTTATGATAATAAAGTACAGACTAGATACAGTAAAACCTTGTTATTTCGATATTGGATTACTCCAATTATCACATAATTTGAAGTCGTCTAATCCCCGACCAAAAGAATAAGATTTTGCGTATACTGTATTTTAGTTTGGATAATTCGAAATAAGTGTACAATAAGTGTCCTTTAAATACTTGTGCATATTTGTGATAGAATGCATACGTAGCTTTAGCCATTAATATAGCTTGTTTTCATCAGAATGTGTGTACATGATTTTTGTAATCTCAAACTCAAGACTGTGAATTCTTCGTAGAACTAGCCATTAGTCCTATAGATGAAATTAGCAGGTAATTCTTATTGAAGCATTTAAGCTTCTTTTGTATGTTATGTTCAAGTCTTGCTTTAAATGTAGTTTTGTTACATTTTCATTGTTTTTGTCATTGTTAAGTACACTCCCAACTGATGGTTTTTCAAAAAAGTTTAAATTACTAATAACACATAATAGTAATGCATTTGTAACCAAACAGGTAAAATTATGTAGATAATGTCATAATTTTATTCGAGAATTACAAAAAAAAATCAATTCGAGAAAGGTTCGGATAATTCTAAGTCATGTTTTTTGGTCCCTCGAGTTTCAAAATAATGAGGTTTTACTGTATAACTGAAATGCATTAATTCAGTATTTGCACAACTGCCAAAGTTAATGCAGCAACAATAAGAAAAGAAACAATCCAGGAGTTACCACATTTTACACCAATTTCAATGCCGGTTACACCTGTACCACGATGTCCAGGTAATCGAACATAGTACTTGCAGTCATCATCTTCCTGCTTGTTACTGCCTACGTCTGCATTTGCCACTTTCGAGGCCTCTTTAAGATGCATAATTTGGCAATATTCACTTCGGGCATGCTAGCACATACCTTAATTTGGCTTTTTTGATCGCTTTCTTCCATGATATTTCCCTTCCAGTTTTACAGATAGCAATGATGCCTGATGTCAGCTTCTCTTTCTCAAGTTTACATTATCATAGACATTGTAATCATGTTGTCATTGAAATGGAACGTGCACACACCATGAAATTTCAGAAGTACATCATCTTCACAGATTGCTTTTTTTGCTGATACATATCTGAAGGTTGGTCAATTTCAAGGAAGTCTTTCATTTCCATGTTTACCACTACCAGGTTTCTGTTTCTGACATTTTAATCACAACTGACCACTGTTCAGGAGAATACACATTTTGATAGTGATGTTGGAGATGTTAATCTAAACAGTTCTCGGCAAGAAGATAGCGCCGGGTAGACCACGGCTCTATCTTCTTGCCCCAGTTTTAGTGTTGGTAATGCCTGTTGCAAATGAAATGTTACAACTAAATCACGGTCATTTTTAGTCTCTGTGTAATCTTTTATGACGATCCGACCAAATTCTCGTTCCAAAATTGGCTGCCGTTGTTTCAGCATTTGCCTTCTTTGGTACATTGCATTCCTTCGAAGTAAAACACCCCATGTTGTCCATTAACAGAAATTCTTTCAATAATTTGCACCTGTGGTAGTTGCTCCTAGTGTATACAAGTTGAAATTCGTGGAAGTAGTGCTTATCGTCCTTTACTCCCGAGTCCTTCAATTTTTGGTCTTAGTGGAGATGACTTAGTGTCTAATATTTTACAAGTTCCATAATTGTCATATGTGCAGAAAGGAGCTTCCCCTTCAAAAGTTTTTTACATTTGTGTCCGTCATGGATAGGGTCGGACCTGCGACGGGACAAGGTCCTATTATATCAGCCTCTAACTCGTCTTCAAAGTGGCAGGCCAACGCCTTTACCACATGGTCATCTGGGGATGCATGTTATTAAATTTAACATCTTTGACGTTCTTACATTTATTCAGAACTTTTTAATTTTAAATTATAATTAGTGTATTTTTTTGTTTAACTGTAGTAATTCTGTAAATTATATTTTTAATCTTTAAATATTCCTACATTCCTTGTGAAATACTGGCTTGAATTTAGAACACTAAACTTGAATTACAGTATATTTAGAGTTTACTGTACTTAAAATGGTAATTTACACATTATACTTGAAAATTCAATCCCAGTTAGTCTGGGTTTTTGATGCTTCGCCATATTTCAAAAAACTGCCGTAATACATCTAGTTTAGTGTCATTTTATATATATAAATTATTATATGTAATTTCAAATGTAAAATGTACTAAATAATTCATTTAGATATTGGGTAATTTGAGCCCTTTAATTATACAAGGTTAATTATGTATTTGTCTGTCTTTATTGAGATGTTAAAATTCTTCACTAACATTCCTAATCTAAAAACACACACAAAAATTGTAAACTTGTTTCCCACAAACACAGCAGTTTCAGGAGTATTTCATTTCATAAATTACACATTGATTATAACTGATTGAAACTATTAATAAACAAACATCATCACTAAAACATACACCAACCAATGCTGAATATTATCGGGCTACAGACAGCTATAATATTAATAATTATTAATAATTTATAAGACAATTTGCGACTAGAGTTAGGCGTTAGGCACCATCTCTTGATAATTTTAATTAAATAATTTAGAACTACTGGAAGAAAAGAATCAGCCCGGAGTAGAAGTTGAACCCACAACTCCTGCTTACATTGCAGATGCATTGCCAATTATGCTACCGGGACCTCCGGTCCTATCTCCTCTTCCAGTATATATAAGCCATCGATGGTTATAATGTATGCTTACATATACTGGAAAAGATTGGACCTCGGGGTAGCATAATTCGCAACGCATCTGCACGGTAAGCAGGAGTTGCGGGTTAGAGTCCCGCTCTGGACTGATTCTTTTCTTCCAGTAGTTCTAAATTACTTAATTAAAATTATAATTACCGTGGAACCCCAGTTAACGAATGTAATCCGTTCCACGAGTCCGTTCGTTAACTGAAGCAATTTTTCCCATAGAAATTAATGCAAATACAATTAATCCGTTCTAGCCGTCAGTATTTTTGTAATTTTATTTGATTCTTTTCAAAAAAACGGTTTGAACTTTTGCATCAACCCAATATAATTTAATATCCACATGTTAAAAGCAAAAACACTATTGTTAAATCGGACAAAAGTTCAGGGAGAAGTAAGGAAAAAAACTGTACTGTAGTTGTCAAAACAAACGCAATGCAAAAACGAATGAAGTAACAGATCAGGTGGAATGTCTGCGGGGAAGATGAAACTCTGACAGAAGCGGTCATAAACAGTCGATTTACGTTAAATTTTCGGAAAAGGGGAACGATTTGACGGGTATAAAAACATCGCTTACGATCGTTAAAGTTCTAAAATGACAGATAGCAGAAACAATAGGCTAAATTATGAGCGAAAGGCTTATATGTTTATCAACAATCTCCAATCAGAGTCGACGAACAGGTGTCAAATAAACGCCTCGGAACAAACCTTTCTCGTGACCTGATCGGGAGACAAAGAAGAAAACAATTGGAAAGCGAGGAATGGGATGCAGGACTAATCGTAAGGTGAGATTCAAGGAAGAAATACTATAAAAACTCCAAATTTCAAGGTCAAAATGCAGTTTTCCTAAAAATTCTATGGCAATTAATCTGTGTCGTCTTCATCTGGATTAAGCCTGAAGTCGTGCCCGCTAAAATTTGTGTCTTGTGGACCACTCCAGTCGTTGCAGCTCTGTCACCTACCATTGCTTCTGTGACCAAGTGAACCCATCTCGTCCGCTTTGGGGCTACGACTGATCAGCTTGCACTATCGTAGGATCAGCGATACGCCACGCCTCAGTGCCGGGAGAAAATACTGTAGAAAAGCCATTTCCAACCACCTCAAATATATAAGCATCTTCCCGTTCTAATAAACGATTTTCACTGTAAAATACTTGTCATCTTTGTCTCCTCCGCCGCCACCAACGTACGAATGGACCCTAGACCATCACCGACACACGATTAACTGATTCGCCCTAAAAGTCGGCAAGTTTACAAATTTGACACAAAAAGCCATTAAGTTTGTTATCCGAGACAAAATTTTTGCAAAATAAAAGTTCATTAACCAATTTGGTTGTTAACCAGGATGTTCGTTAACCAGGGTTCCACTGTATTAAATTTATCAAGAGATGGCTATTGATTATAAGACTTACTAATTACTATTATAAGACAAGCTAGCATTAGGCTAGTGCCAAATTGTCTTATAAATTATTATTATAGCAGTTTCTAGCCCGATAATATTCAGCATTGGTTGGTGTATAGCTTGAAAACTATTAAATTCAACATTAAATTCTCTGAAGAAACCTTACTTGCAATACTTAATAAAATTACATTAATCTGCTACATTATTTTTAGGTAACCGACGGTGAATCAGAAGAAGGCGAATTGAGCGTGTACTGCGTAACCTGCGGCCACGAGATCGGAGCGAGGACGGCACTAAAACACATGGAAAGGTGTTTTAACAAAGTAAGAAATATTAAAATAATTATGCGACATTTCGAAATCTTATGAACATAATTTTTATTTTGGCTTCCAGTACGAAAGTCAGACGTCGTTTGGGTCGATCTACAAGACGCGCATCGAAGGGAGTAACGTATTTTGCGATTTCTACAATCCCCAACAGAGAACGTACTGCAAGAGACTCAGGATTCTGTGTCCCGAACATTCGAAAGATCCAAAGGTGAGCAGGATTGGTACATAAAAATAATTTATTTCGTTAGGAGAAACGACTAATTACTTTGTCTGCCAGATCAACGACGACGAAGTGTGCGGTTGTCCTGCCGTGACGAACGCCTTCGTACAGACGGGAGAATTTTGCAGGATACTCAAAAAGAAATGTATAAAGCATTATTGTTGGGACAAGCTGAGACGTGCCGAGATCGACATGGAGAGGGTCAGACAGGTAAGGAATCGTTTTGGGCGTTTATCTTTGCAAATTGTAGCATATCGATAAACATCGTGTCTTTCTCAGTGGTTACAACTAGACGAATTAATGGAACAAGAAAGGAATATTCGTATAGCCATGGCCAACAGAGGCGGCGTGCTCGGTCTCATGTTGCACCAGACAATAGCTCATGACACCCTGTTTGAAGTTCCACCCGGACTGGAGTGAATTAAAATTCACATTTTTATATATATTTTTTAAAATATCTAATTAAAATTTGTACATAATGGGCATTAAACAATTTATATTTATATAGCTTTGATTTTTATTCTTTTAATAATACTACATTGAACTGTACACGAAAAGCTAAATTAGAATTTTAACATTTTAATTTTCGTCAATCAGAAAACTTTCGACCGCCTTAAGATAATCCGGATGCAGTTTTTCTTTGAGCTCGCTTCTTGTTGCCCAGCAATAATCATTGACGTTTGGATTTTGCTGTAACAATTCTTCTTTTGTTATCTCTCCCTCTCTTACTTGAGCCTTGAAAAAAAATACCTGAAATAAAAAAAGATTATTGAAAATGTACTACATCTGAAGTTTTGGCGCTGTCTTCTGTATGAAAAATTTAAACATGGTAGACTGTAGGTATGTTATTCCTTATTTCAGTTTTAAAATAATGCACTTTGTTACCACACAAAAGAAATCTTAAAGTTTTAAACAAATCAAGATTAATTAAAAATGCATGGTGCCATGGGTGGTCCAAATTATATTTCCCATGCTTATTTCATACTATCTGTAAAATTTACAATAGTTTTGTGGGACTATATGGATACACCACGTTGGCTTTGGGACATCCCTGACCATCTTCATTCAATGCATAAAGGTGAAAGATGTCAATCGGTTCTTCCCCACGATCATCAGAAACACCTACTAGTTTCTATGCAGGCCCACTGCCAATAGAATGCAGCCCAAAGGCCTGTGATGTTTCCTCTGGCAAATTTGTGGGACGAGAAGAAACGGTCACTGCTATCCATTATCGTGAAACCTTGCAACGGTCTGATGGGAACATCTTTGGCCGAGTGATTTTCGCAAATTCCCGGCACCGAAAAACTTGGTAGGTCGATGTTTCGGAACGAACCAAAATATGACAGATGCCGTATAATGATTCTTTCATAAGCAAGAACAACTTCACACACAGCTTTCATGTTAGAGTAGAGGAAGGATGTAGGTAACGTTACACATGCACAAATGATAAATTTATTTTCACATTTTTATTATGAGTTTTTATTATCCTTGAATTATATGAAAGGAGAAGTAATTGTAGCTTGGTGAGGTACTGTACAACATGATTTTCAGGAGCTACAAGTGTTTTAAGTAGTACCTAAGACAGATGTTAAAAATATAGATTACATTTCTTGTGCTGTTGTTTTTGAAACTTACTCTTTGCACAACCGATTAGACTCCAAATGTACCAGAACGGGATGCTTGGGAAAAAAAAGCATTCTTGACGAGAGATTCTCTCAATTAAGAGAGACAGGATAACATTAACAGCCCCAAATAGAAGAATGTGTACTATTTTATAGAAAGGGTTCCTGTAAAAGGAAAGCCTCGACCATATGAATTCAAAATTTTGTTCTCTACAGTACAAGTGGTGATCTCTTGATACACAGTAAAATGATAGGCTAGAAGCACTTAAATGTAATATAACACTAACGCAAAAATTTCAGACTGGATACAAGAACAACAGAAAATGGTCGTAAGATTTTCTGTGATACTTTTTGTCACACCAACTACTCTATATTCTGAAAGAAAAAAAATATTTGCCTCCAGCCCAGTCTGTACTAATGGAGGTGGAAAACTTCCTTTAATGTCGGATACATCAAGGAAAATACTGTAATGTTTCCATCTCTGCTTTTTAAGTGGTTGGAAACAGGACACACTGACTGTTGATTTCAACTATATCGGAAAGGCCTCTAAAATAATCAATAAGCTGCAAACTAAAAAAGAAAAAAGAAAAAAAAAAAAAACACTTGAAAAATATCTGTCATTCAGCCCTATATTCTTGTTCATTACAGTGGACTTTGGGTCTCTTACATTAGTCACTACTAATAAGAAAATAAATTGCAGTTTTTCATATTTCTGTAAAATATCTTTAACTTCTTAATTATAGCATAAAGCGATATTTATACATTGTGTAAAGACCGTACTCCAAATGTTGGAAAATCAGTTTTGTTGCATAGAGTCTGATTACGACAGGACTATCTCCTGTTTTACAAAACAGGGTGAAGTGAAAATTATTTTGTGTGATCAAAACAAAGAATACAAGAAAATCAATGGCCATAAAATTTAAAATTAAAGAAATTTTCTTACCTTAGCTCCCATAATTCCGCCATTTCTCTCGGCTTTTGGATATTTATATTTATAATGTCCTGCGGGTGCATTACCCATCATGGTGATTTGTAATTTATCTTGGCACATTTCTTTAACGATTCTTTCGGCCGTCTTTAAAAGTCAACGGGGATTTGTTAGTAGTAGTTTCAGCGTATTTTAAACAGAACAAAACTTATTCTTACTTCTCTTAGGTTTTCGTCTTCTCTTCTGATACTTTGGGGTAGAAGCCAGCGATAATCATTTCCTAATTTTTGTTTTATTATCAGTAAGAGACTATTTCTTAATTTTCTATTTAATGAATGTTGACAGTTCTTTTTATCGGCTTCTAAAATAATAAGAAATGCAAGTGATGTAATAAATTATTAAGATGTAAAATGGCTAACAAAAATTGAAAATGATACAAAAATTTTTATATAACCATTAATGAATGATTTAAGTCAGTGTTTCTAACCTGTGTGTGGCAGAAATAGCTTAGTATTTTTTAGAATTTTGAATATTTTTAAAAATCCTTCTACCATATTTTGAAACCGTGCCGTTCTTTTTATTTGGAAACGAAAAGTGAAATAAAGAAGTGAATAGTGCCAAGTGATCGTTACTATGCTACATTGTGCTTATAGAACAAATTTTTAAAGATTTTCATTTAACATTTTACTGCTGCCAATTGAAGGAAGAAGGAAGTGTTCATTAAAATTGCAAAATTTTGCCAATTGTTGCAAAAGTTGTGTGCCAACTCTTTGGAGCTTCTATATACATTGCAGCTAGTATATTACTAGTTTTATAGACCAATACTAGTTTTTTATTTGCATTGATTCATACTATAAAAATAAAAAGACTACTTATTTGTAAAATTGTTCGTTTTTGTCTTGGTGAAGTTAACTTCTGTATTAATAAAATTTTTAAAAATCAACAGTAATTTAATTTAAACATTTTTATTCAAAAAATTAAGGTGCATCACAGGAATCTTATTAAATTCAGTGTGTCGCTAATGTGATGTCACGGAACAGGATTACCAAATGTCAGGATTATCGTATGTGGGGTGAAGGAAAGTGAGGCAAATAGCTGCAGTGACTTTACACTAAGTCTTACAATCTAGTGTGTCTTGTCAACTGTAGTCATTGGCCCCGGGGCAGTCTCGTGAGTCATCACCAAATGAATCCCAAGTCCGGAACAGTCTCTGGCAGGAAGGTGATGATTAGGAGTGAAGTCTGTAGGACAGTTAATGGAATCCTAGCAGTTAACTTTAGGAGGTAGAGAAAAGTCTTTTTGACTACAGTTGGAAGCCGGGAAAGTCTGGACAGTGGTTGTCACTATCAGAGACTGGGAGAAGTCTGCCTTTGTCCTTGAGATCCAGGTTTTTAAAAGATTCTCTTCCCCGGATCTCTAGCTTTTGATTGGTTGGTTTCCTGTATGGTGACAGACCATTTCGGGCTACGAAAGGTTTAATTCAACACTATGTTTTAATCCGATCAAGGGAAATTAATTGCACCTCAAAACTCCTGGTCGTATTTAATTGTTTCGAATTCTTATAAGTCTGACACACAATCTCAGCACTGCATCTCCTTTTAAGGTTATTTAAAAACTTATTTTTTTTTCTCAATAATTTTATTTAGGTTTTTCTTCCAATTTTTACCAGCATTAGAATCAAAGCCTGATTCCTTGATTTGACACTTTTATGATATTTTTAACATGTGAACTCGAATATCGCATGGGCCTCACACTAATCTAACAAGTTGGGAAACTAAAAAGGAGTCAGAGTTGGCAGATTTTTGAAGACTCCCACTAAAACACCAAAACTCCACGACTCTGACTCCACAGTCCTGGTAAAGTCTTCCTGGGAGGAATCCCACCTTCAAATATTTCCAGGTGTAGCATTGCCTTCTCCCATAAATCTATCCATTCTGAGATAGAACTGCTTTCTTTATTTGACATCATGGAAAGCATCATCTGAAAACACTGAAAATTTTTTCACAGTGTGTAGTGCTGAATAGTAGAAATTTCCATGTCCAGTGGTTGAGATAATTCAGATAGCAGATTTCTCAACAATGTGTGGTCCATGGATCCCTGTGGGTCTAGGCAAATATATTGACAGCAAACTATGCAAATTAGGTAAATGGCACATTAAAATTTATTAAACGGGTCTACCAGAAAGTGAAGTTTGAGAAACCCTATGAGTATTTTGTACTTAAAGATATGTAGTTCTTCCAATTTTTCAAAAACTGCAAGTTTTTCTTTTACAATTTAAATAAAGATGCACTGTTGATAATAAGAATATTAAAATTATTACAGTGAAATATTGACTTAATGCGTGGGGTATGTGTATATAATAGAAATGTAAAGAATGCATGTATGTAATAGAAATGTAAAGAAAAATAAACATTGATGAATAGCACATTCATCAATTTTTATTTTTTGAATCTATACCTAAAGACCAAGTTCATAAACAGTTCTTTAAACTTTGCAAACCATATCAAAGAGTTAATTTTAATTTTTACATTTTTTTACAATTGTAAATTTAATAAGTAAGTCTTAATGCTATGTTTGCTTCTCTGTACAAATTTTTATCAATTGTAAAATATCTCTTCTATTTATAATTTTATCTTTCAAGTGGCTCCGCTTAAGCAGTTTTGACACCAAAGAGAGATATTGGATCCTCTCTGGTATCAAAATTTCTTGCAGAGATGAACCTTGACACTAAAATATTTGAATATGATCGGTGGGTCACATCTGGTGGTCCTTTACGTGACAGATTTGGACAATTGGACATTGAAAAAGGGAGATGATGTGATTTGATATGGTCTGTGCTAAGGAGTGTAAATCTTTTCTCGTGGCTAGTGATACAATGTGGGTGATCTGCAACTTAAGGGTGGTCCTCGGACTCACTACCATCAGCCCTCCCCGTCCTTCCCCTTTCTTGTACAGGACAATAGTCTCCTCTAGATCTTCTGTAACAAGACTTATTTATTAAATTTATTTATAAATTGTAATCACTTTGTGTATTTTTTTATTTTGTTTATACAATTATTACATATATTTACTTCTTTTACTGATAGTGCAGATTAATTTTAAAAACTAATACTGATTGTTCATGGGCAACCTGTTGCCTGCATTAATATTTTTTGCAGCCCAAATTGCATAAAATATGTATAAATATAGCAATTTCTCAGCTTAAGGAAGTATGCAACAAAAATTCAAACATTATTTTCTACAACTTACATATGTGAATAGTTTTTCCTGCAATGAATTTGTAAAAATTAGAAGAAGAAACTGGCTAACAAACTCACATCAAAACTAATTTAAAACTAGCAGTGACTAATATCTAACCAAATATTTCCAATATATTATGTTTACATCAGTTCCAGAAACTAAATTAGGTATACCTATTCTAATTTATAATTATATATGAATAAATAATTGTGATTTATTGGCATTTCCCCCCCCTTTTATCTTGTATGTGGCCCACATCAGTTCAAAAGTTTTGAAATGTGGCCTTAACATAGAAAAGGGTTGCCCGTCCCTGGTTTATATGAAAAATTATAAAATGGCAACAGGGAGGAGGGAATTACAAAATGCTAAGGGATCAAATTAAGTCCCAAATATACCACAATATCATTTGTTATTTGTAAATTTTAACACAGCTGTATTAATTATGCAGTATTATGAATTTTAGAGAAAAATCTATAATATTCTTAATAATCTAACGTTAATTAAAATTTTTTTGAAATATTTTAACTTGCTACAAATCTCTCACAATTACCATTTACACCCTCAGTTAGAGGGCAGATGTTAATGAACTGATTAAAAAAAAATACAAAAAATGATAAATAATACGGTTTAAATTATAATTATCATTTTTTATTTTAATAATTTTGATTGTGTAACAAAACAATTTCTGAATTTTTTCCCAGTTTATTAATATTTTATAAAGTTCAGGAAATTTATTAAAAGATAAATTAAATAAATATATACTTTTGTACATGGATTATACAGGATTTGTTAGTGAATAATAAATAATGGTTTAATATTTTTTTTTCAAAGCCACATTAATTTATAACCATAAATCAATGTGGCTTTGAATGACATGTTCTGTATTATCACTAATTTTAATTATTAAAATCGTCAACTTATCCCTCTTAAAACATGTTTTTAAAAATTGTTTTACATCTTTGCAACATTTTGTCGGGAATTTAAAAATAAAGGGGATTAATAATAGGATAAATTGTTTTAATTTAATAAACATTTTATTTTTAATTTTAATTATTCAGCAATTATAAAAATTATGTAACTGCTAATTAGAAAAAATAACTAATTAAAAAGCCAAAGAAGCAATAGTGTGAGAATCTGGAAATTCAGGAGAGGGTCATTTTGAAAATTAACAAAGTAGAGAAAAAGAATTACAAAATTAAGAGAAAATAATATTTTTAAACTTTAACAAATTTTACAAAAAAACGGATGAAACTTTCGATTTTGAAAGGAAGTTTATTTCCTTTCCCACGCCGACTCATGATGAGTCGCATGAGTTTTGCACACATTACTGGAGAGCAAATAAAAGGGATGTTTTCCCGCCATTCTGGGCAGTCCGTCGAAAAGAGCTCACCATAAGATAAAGGCAGTCGTCATACAAAGTGTACGTCATACAAGTCCGTTATACGAATCAGTTAAATGAAAGTTATAAATATATAGCAATAAATGAAGTATATGACAAGATTGTTAAAAAAGAAGTTATTTAAAGGACTTTCCAAAGAAACTGTTAGAAGAAAAATACTCAGAATTGAAGAAGACCCTCATTCAGAGAAATATTCAAAAGACCTGATGAAGGTAATATGATCAGAGATAGATTGATGTGAACTCTCTCTCACGTATCAGGTTTAGAATAAGATTAGTTTAAGTTAGTAGAGTAGTTTAAATTTAGGTTCATTCTTTTGTATACTTTTATATTTCGATTTATTAAATGCTTTGTTTATCATTATAAAAATGGTTTGGTTAATATTGGTTATTCATACTCATTCGTATTTAAACTTCCTTCGTTCCTCTTACTCACAAGTTAGGGATAATGCATGTTAATCCGCATGTAAAATAACTGATTAACTGGTGTCAAGGATCCTGACGTGATCTAGAAATAACCCTCTAGATCTTTTAAAACTTTAAGTTAAAGCCCTCCTAGAAAAAGTTTAGTGAGCCAATCTTGCGATTTTGTGCCCGTAAGTGATATAGGTAGCACACCTATACCCTCTATACCCTTGGCTACTCACAATAGTATATTTGTGTAGTAAACCAAATGCTGTTTTATTTTGTCAATGTGCTGTACTATAAGGGATGTGAGGAAATTTTGTACAAAGTTGATCAGGGAAAGTCATGGAATTTAAAACAAAAATTTGAGTAGGAACCCTGTACATTCTAATTCTTGTTATTATTATTTTTGATCTAGATAAACTAGAAAAAATTCTATCAAGTAAAATATCATTATATACTCAAATATAATATCCATTAATTTAATACCAGTAATAATTGGTGCTGCTTTGAACTTCTGTAATTCTTCATTCGAGGCATCTTCAAACTCTTGTGCAGTTTGTTTTGTTGCAGCATCTAGATCAATATCATCTTCACTTTTTTTTATTTTTTCTGCATATTTTCTGAAATTAAGCAGTTAAATAGTCTGTCATAAAATATTATTAAAGAAACACACTAAACTTTAATATCATAGATATTTAACTTACACATCTTCAATATGCCTTAATTCATGTTCACTGAGCAAACTATTTTCATGTTCAATTTTCTGAATTAAATTAGAAAAAGATGCTTCAGTTGGAGTCATTTCTTGTGATACAACTGGCTTTCGTTCTAAGCAAATGGCACTCATAATATGCCATTGATGATGTGATGCGGGTGGTGTCTGCACCCTTGGACTTGCAGCAGTACATGCTATAAATAAAAAAATATATATATTTAAAACATGCTATCAGAAATGATAAAATGAAATGCAATCAATTCTGACATAATCAATTTTAAGACTCAAAATTTTCCAGATGTTTAACTGCCAGAAGTCAAGTGTAATAACAATTTAAGATACAACTAATGTAAATTAATATTTAAACCAAAATTACATTTAACAATCATTATGAACTATAAAATTTCAACTGAAATAGAATCTTCAATGTTAACAAGTTTATCTCTCCAATGACTTTAACAAATATACTCTGCTTTCTTGGAGACAAAAAAAAATGGAGAAGTGTATATATAAAATCTTCAAACAAGAGTGAAAATGAATAAATAATACTGAATCTATGTAGTTTAGCTACTGATTAATGATATTTTACTGATTTTCCTAATGTTAATCCTATAATACAGTGATTAATCTGATCCACAGACTCATATTAGTCTTCAGACTTTCTCAGGTTTGCGTGAATGCTAGAATTTTATTTGCCAATTTTATGCTCTCATTGCATTGTTAGTGTATTGGGATTAGTAAACATTCAAGCAACACAAGATTATGAGGTCAATTTTTTAAAGTGTATGCTGAGAATGGTGTTTTTTAATGCAGATAGGGCAGAATTATTCTACAATGCAACTCCAATCAAGACATGAGGACAGTCATGAATGTATTGATAAACTTTAGAATTGGCGCTGAAAAAATACTAATAGTCTACTGATGACATATGAAGTGTGTTTATGAAGTAATTTTGCACCCATCACATCAAGTATGAGAAAAACTATTTGGTTAAAAATTTTGAATATGTTCTGGCAAACATATGTTAAAAATTTTAATGGAACTACACTCCAGAAATACATGCTTTTTGTATACATAAAACTCTCATAAAGTTTATCAGCTGGGCAGGGCATCAGGCAAAAACGGCCTGGGGAAAACACTGGAACATCCCCATTGCTTTGCGGAATTTTCCATTTGTGACACATCATGTCAGCATTCAAATTAATTTTCAGATTTTAGATAAAGGATTATCAACATGTATTTAATGTAATACATGTTGAGAATCCTTTTATATAATATAAAATATAGAAAATATTTAGTTTTGCCATTCACATTTTGAATTGAATAAGTTTTACTATATGTTAAATATAGAAAAACCAGAGCTTCGTAAATAGTAGACTTTAATGATTAATTTAATGTGCGATAACATCCGATTAATTAATTAAAGAATTCATTAATCAGCCATTTATTTTTTGTTTTAACTTATACATAATATTGAATAATAAGTTCTATTCAATATCTAATTAGTCATTAGTTTTGTGTATCTATTAAAAATAATATTAGCAAGATTCTTAACTTCATTTTATATAATCATGAGCTAAACCTGGATTGTAAAATATTCTGAAAACATTTCTTGCCTATTAAAAAGTTTTTGGCTTAATTGTAGTTTTATTCCATTACAACTCTAAGATATCGTGTCAAGTTTTAAATATTTTTATTTTATTAAAAGACTTTTTTGACAAATTTTGAACACATTCAATAAGAATTTATACTCTATCTATGTTGGCATCTACCATAAACAAACACCTCATAGGTTGCAAAGGATGTTCAAGATTCCTTTTTTGTGTGTAGATCTAATAAAATGCTATATAATGTATACAGTGCGGCAATTAAATTCCGGGACTGAAGCTATATCTCAGCAACCAGTACCGACATCTGTTTAAATTTTATGTCAAATGAAGTTTGAACAGATGTCACTACTAACCTAAAACTTTTATTTAAATCGGTTGACATTTATCATTGTTTTTGATATTTTGTTTATCAGTTTATTTTGTTACATGTCGGCAAACAATAATGGAACAACGTGCTGTTATTAAATTTCACGCTAAACTTGGCACAAGTGCCACAGAAACGTTCAAAATGATGCAGAAAGTGTATGGAAGTGAGTGTTTATCATCACCTCAAGCCAAGAAAACACAAAAAGTTCCATCAAAAATCAAGACAATGTTCATTGTTTTCTTCGATAGCAAAGGCATCATCCACTGTGAGTTCGTCCCACAGGGTCAAACAGTTACTGCTGCTTTCTACTTGGGAGTTTTACAACGATTAATGGGAAGAATTCGTCGAATTCGACCAGAATATCGCAATTCTGATGACTGGTGTTTGTTACACGATAATGCACCGAGTCACACATCATTGATTGTTCGTCAATTTTTGGCACGAAATCAAGTCTGTGTGTTGAATCATTCGCCGTATTCCCCCGATTTAGCACCATGTGACTTCTCTTTATTTCCAAAAATGAAAATGAAGTTGAAAGGATGCATTTTTAATGATATTGAAACCATCCAAAGAGAGTCTACGCGCATATTAGAGGCAATACCGAAAATTGAGTTTGAGCAGGCATTTGAATCACTATTGAATCGCTGTAAAAAGTGTATTGAAGCAGGAGGAGAGTATTTTGAATAATTTAATAAAAAGATTTGAATAAAATTGTTTTGTTTCATTTTTATAGATCCA